GGGGGCAGTTACTCCGGCAATTTTCGCCGGGCAGCAAGTCTTACGTTAAACCGGTTTATGTGAACCCGGTAGCAAAAACAACGTGGGATCCTATCTTAATGTGGAATCAAAGCTAAGGGGGGTACTTACGTGTATAGCCAAAGAGCCGAGATGTCCGGAGTCGCAAACACAACAGTGGTAATGACTTTATTAACAATACATAATAGACATGAACACTTGTGAGCTGGTGTCAGTGTAATGGAGCCGGGAAGCTTTCATCGCACTGACAGAAGGTATAAGACCTTCTAGGCTCCAGCCCCCCGGCGGGGCCTTGTTGTGGGGTGTAATGGTCGGGAGAAAAAGTCCTAAATAATAAAAACCCGACGCCTAACGCAAAGGGCAAAAACCTCGCACCTAAGCCAAAACGGCGCGAGGGAAAAAGCCCTGTAACCGCGATTAATTAATGTGTGAGTTTGGGGGTGAGCCGGGAGACGAGGGCGGCTCTTGCGTAGCCATATTTGGCGCACGTAATACAAATGTGAATTGTTTATAAATGAGATTTGAGGGAAGTGGAAATGATTTTAGTGATTGATGACGATTGGATATCTTTAAATAGAAATGTTTGATATTAATCTAAGGTTATTTTATTAGAAAGCGATTATTATCTCTTGATTTATGTTTGCGCGCCATAAATCGCCGACCGTTACAGCCCGCAAACAGCTGATTTCCTCGCGAAAACGTTCCCGTGGCTCCTCTGAAACGGCTCTCCTCCAAGCTCATCCAACCTCATCCGAGATTTTTTGGGAGGAGCGACGGGAACAGACTAGGTATGATTGCGGTTTGTGGCAGGCTGTAGCCAAGCGAAGTCAGTGAGAGGACCGGTCGTGCGCGGCTCTGTGCGCATTTTAAACTTTGGACTCCAAATTCTGCCATAGAACCGGCATTGCCCGATCGGAGGGTAGAGGGCAGGGTTACCGCAACAAGCTTCGCTTAGCGGGGGCTCTGTCCCTGTGAATCCTTGTATTCAAAAGGTTCGGACTAAATTTAAAAAAACAACGTAGTTCAATGGCGAAGTCTTTTTTTTGCCGTCAAATGTGATTTATCGATTGAAGGGTGAAATAATGCTTTGAATATAAAGACCTAAAGTATTTCCCCAGAATTTCATTGAATTTCATTGCCAGCGGCCAACAAGCCATTTTCATCTGAAATGAGGACAGATTTATAGTGCCATCACTCGCTGGTTTTCGTTTGGCACTTGGGCCTGTAGAGGGCGTTATTATAGTTTCAATAGCTAATGTTACATGAAACCATTTACATGAAAGACGTTACCTACAAGTTGTTATGGTCGGGTTACCAGGTCAGGTCAAGTGACCTTACCCCAGAAAAAGTTAGAATGCTCGCCATAGCTTTACTGTATGCCTGGCCTATTCAAATACATTAGCCTGAGGGGTGTGGTAATAACTGGTGTAAGCAAAGTGACCACGGTCAAAAACGAATTACCAAGTCAACATTTTGGGATGGCCTCGTTCAAAAAATGGCTGAGAGCTTCGGTCTAGACAATTATTTTATCGTTGGCATACAGTAAAATACATACCAGTATAACGCCTTTTGGGGCGACTAACGGAGCGAGCGAGAGGGTGGGCCTTGCACGTGCGAAATTGCGAGGGGGTACCTCCAACTGACTTGTGCACGGCACCCTACTAACTGGTCTCTAGCGATGTGCCAAATTTGGGCACAATCGGCCCAGCCGTTCTCGAGATCTGGAAGCGGCACCCTGCACGTGCGCACGTGCAAAATGGGTCCCAACTGACTTGTGCACGGCACCCTACTAACCGGTCCCTAACCGTGTACCAAATTTGAGCGCAATCGGTCCAGCCGTTCCCGAGATCTGGAAACGACCCCTGCACGTGCGCACGTGCAGCAGCACCCCAACTCTGGCACATGTATAGGCAGTGCCTAGTGGGTGCCTACCAACATGCCAACTTTCAGCGCAATCGGCCAAGTAGTTACCGAGATATTGCAACAATTACAAAACGGACACCTCTTCGTTTTGCACGTGGCACGTGCATAAGGGGTCACCCACATGCATCAGGAATAGTCCAATGCTTGGTAGAAGGAATGAAGCTACCCTACAAAAATTACCGCGTGTAAATCGGTCAAGTGGTTGCTGAGATATAAGCCTCGCAAAAGCGTGACCACGGCCGGCCGGCCGGCCGGCCGCTCATACTCAGAAATTTCTAAGGAAAGACTACGCTCGCTTCGCTCGCTCCGTAACCAAACTCGGCCGGTGATATATAATACTGAACGAGGCCGGTGTAAATAAATTTTCAAGACCGAGGTCCTTACTGGATTTTTGAACGAGGCCGAAGGCCGAGTTCAAAAATCAGTAAGGACTGAGGTCTTGAAAATTTATCACCGGCCGAGTTTGGTATGTATTTTACTGTATGCCAACGATAAATTTATTTTCTGGACCGAAGCTCTTAGCCGACTTAGGAACGAGACCATCCAAAAATGTTGGCTTTAGTGTATTCTGGTAATGCATTTTTGACCGTGGTCAATTTGCTTACACCAGTTATTACCACACCCCTCTGGCTAATGTATTTGAATAGGCCAGGCATACAGTAATAAATTTTCAAGACCTCAGTCCTTACTGATTTTTGAACTCGGCCTTCGGCCTCGTTCAAAAATTCAGTAAGGACCTCGGTCTTGAAAATTTATTTACACCGGCCTCGTTCAGTATTGTATAACACCGATCGAACGATCGCTTTGAATTTTTAAGCGATTAATAAGAGTAACATTAGGTTCAAAATGCATGTATTTGAATTTTGATATCATACCGATGACTTTAGGTCAAGTCACTTTTGCACAGTCTCCCGACCCTAAGAAGTTGACAGGAGAAAGTTGAAGGACGCTCCTTTTGATGAACGTCATTCTAAACACCCTCAAACATCGGGTTATAGGTAAACATGACGCACTGAATCAAAAAAAATTGCACTTGTGACCCCTTTTTATGACCATGAGGTCATATCAGGTCATAAAAGGTCTCCAGCAGTTCTTTGACCATTATTTTTTATGAAGACGTGTTGGAGCGATGGTCATGGAAACAACCTTAGATGTGTTCAGTTCGACGATAAGGAGCGGCTGATAAACAACATGACCTTTTCATGTCAGGTCATGACCTTGACCTCAGGTCAAATTTTGAACTTAGATCAACTCCGAGTAGGTACATATTCCAGAAAGCGCTAAAAGAGCTATCGAATGCGTCTTTCTGCGGCGCTATATCTGCCGAGTTATGGGCGAATTTATGTAAAAAAATGAAAAGACGAAATTTGATCGTTGATAACCTCTGTTGCCTTATTCTTTGAACTGACCTTAAAAATGACTAGGGCACTTTCGTCATGATCTTTGACGCTATTTCGAATGCCGGTTACCGCATCTTACATGCCGCTTACTTCTGTTCCGCTAAAACGCAGTTCACACTTGCCCGTAAGGTCTGCCGGTGACGGGCCCGACACCGTCAAAACGGCCGAAACCGACGGAGCGACGGCCGTCAGGTCGACGGGCATGTGTGAACCGGCAGCGTTTGACGGCCGGCAACAGCTGACTGCGCCGGCGCCGGACCTGACGGCCGTCGCTTTGAAAAGTTCAGCAATGTTCAACTTTTGACGGTGACGGGCCCGTCGGTTTGAATGTCTGCGTGTTGGAGGAAGAGGAAAAAGAACGTTATCATGCAGGGTTGCCAGATCCAGAATGGTCCTTATCGCCAAATTCGCCCCTCGAATTTCGCCAAAATTCGCCAAATAGGATGCACTGTATTAAGCATACGTAGCAGCGCAAGTTGGCACCTTTCCGTGCTTCTATCCTCAGGATACAGAAATCCTTCTCCTCCACGCCTCAACCCCACTCCGGGCTAAACAGGCACCTTTATCTTATGCGGGCTGCTCCCTTGGAGCGGCACCGCTGCTCCCGAGGGAGCGCACCCCGTAGCCGGGTGCAGAGAGTGCATGGGGGGCTGGTCGGCCTGTCCATTCGGACGGGCTCAGCCCCGGCGACTCTCTATGGTGTCTGCCCAGACCAATGTCTCCCCCTAATTCCTATCATCCTTCCGGCTTTGCAATGGTCTTGTCAGACTGAAAGGGGCTAACCCAACAAAACAAACAAACAAAAACGCAAGTTGGCGTTCGTGTAACCGTGTTCACGAATCGTTTCCAAGTTCACGATTTACCTATCTCGTTTCTCATATTCATCTACAGAACAGCGTACCTTAACCAGCGCCAAATGAAATAGCAAAGGTCGCCAAGCAACCGTTCCTGCCATTCCCGCAACACGCCTTGCATTGTATTTAGGGCCTTGCAACACGCCACAAAGTTGTTTACAAGTAAGTAGAAGATATTTTCATCAGGAACATTTTATAATTGAGTGCCTAATATGAAACGTTGGAAGGTTAAATTAATCAGATTACGAAATATTTCGTGATGATGTTTTTTGCTTTGTTTTGTTTATTTTTTTAAATAATATTCGGTGATTTGGAGGTGAACTCTGGAAATTCGCCAATATTTGACGTTTTATCGCCTATCGCCAAACGCCGTGCTTCTATCGCCAATGACTTTCAAAATTCGCCAAATTGGCGACATATCGCCAAGTCTGGCAACCCTGTTATCATGCAGCATGAAGCTTAAATGCATTTTTAAGATAATTTATAGCATTTTCTCTCCATTTGTTAAGACGAAAGTGTTTATTACGGCGCGATATCTTGAGATTCGTTCCCTGATTTAGGTCAGCGAACCGATGTGATTTTCATTAAAATAAAATTGCAGCATTATTTGACATAAAAATGTAAAAGCGTGGTATTTTATTTCTGTAATTCACAGAATATTTTCCGCCTCTACCCTCCCCCATCCCCTTCCCCCATCTGCGTCCATCTCGAAAATGGTACGCCATTTCTGTCACAACATATGGCAGCCAATGGAAGCTACCAAATCTCAACTTTCGTTTGACGGGCTGCAGGCCGTCAGGTCGACGGTGACGGGCCCGACACCGACAGACTGACGGTCATGTGTGAACTGCGTTTAAGTGGCACGGGAGTCGAGCAGGGGTGTTCAACCCCCCCCCCCCCGCCCCCCCCAGCCCGGCACGACTGGCGCCGAGCACCGCCCCGGCGCGGGTTAAAGCGTCTGTCATTGGCATGTATATGTGAGCTATTGCATTAACTAGTCTCACGGGCCACGGTCAGCATATTGCCCGAGTAAACATCTTGCCCGTGAGAGAAAAGGTGGGTAGTATGCATACTACCCGGGCAGTATGCGAACTGCCCGGGCGGTATGCATACTGCCCAAGGGGTCGGGTAGTATGCATACTACCCGGGCGGTATGCATACTGCCCGGGCTGTTGGGTAGTTTGCATACTGCCCGGGTAGTTTGCATACTGCCCAAGTTAGCATATGACCCGTAACATATATATATTATATATATATATTATATATATTATATATATATATATCTATATCTATATATATATATATATATATATATATATATATATATATATATATATATATAGATATATATATATATATATATATACATCTTAAGATGTCCTTATGTTCAGTGGTTAGTGATAACCTACTTAAAAATATGTAGGTACCCAAGATTTCACTGAAATAGTCATATTTCAATAGTTTGATTGAATAGTTTGATTGACATTTGTGACAGTTCCCTGTGACTGTGTTATTTTCAGGACCATGGCCTCTGCTATTCGATGGGGAATCCTGAGCACTGGGAAAATATCACATGACTTTGTCACTGCAGTAAGAAGTCTGGCACCTGAGGAAAACCAAAAGGTAATATTTGGTTACCATTTCCCAGTTCAGTCGGGGAAACTATGGTAAAATCTGCTATTTTTAGCAGTCTGCTATTTTTAACAGAAATCTGCCAAAAATGGGTACGCATGTGACGTCATCGTACCCAAATATAGCAGATTTGAGTACAAAAGCAGATCTGCACCCTAATTGAAGCAAATGCGCATCAAATGCCTGGCAGATTCATGATGAGAATAGTGCTGAGAGTGATCTCTGCTATTTTTGTTCAGATCCGACTATTTTCAAATTCATTATTTGAAAATAGTCGGATCTGAATAAAAATATCAGAGGACATTCTCAGCACTATTCTAATCATGAATCTGCCAGGCATTTGATGCGCATTTGCTTCAATTAGGGTGCAGATCTGCTTTTGTATGGGGCCGTACCCAAATCTGCTATATTTGGGTACGATGACGTCACATGCGTACCCATTTTTGGCAGATTTCTGTTAAAAATAGCAGACTGCTAAAAATAGCAGATTTTACCATAGTTTCCCCGACTGAGTTACATCTTGATGTTCTTCCTTTGAAGCAGATTAGCAACATTTTTAAGTGATAGGCTGAATTAATGCAGAAGTTGTCTTTAACTTTTCAGTGTCAGCCTTGGTAGCTAAAGAGCTACCTACTTATCAGAAATAGGATGAATGGGCTTTTTATGAAACAGCTGACACTTTCCCTCTCTATTTACTGTAGGTGACAGCCGTGGCAGCAAGACAGCTGGAAAAGGCTCAAGAGTTTGCCAAGTGCCACAACATAGAGAAGGCCTATGGCTCATATCCAGAACTGATTGCAGATGGGGATATTGGTCAGTAACTGCACCTCTAAGCAACATAGTTTATTTGACATGAGTTGACCTTTTCAGTGCACAAGCTTTCGAAGTATAAGTTAAGTATTTCTGAGTAGGTGTATTGATAAGTTTTCCCTGTTGATGTTATGTTTACTGTTATACATACCAAAGTAGATGTGCACTCATGTACTTGTGCAGGCTGCATTTTATTAACTCGGGACAAGTCTTTCTTGCATTGTTCAGGCTATCCTCTATTTAATTATGTGACTGTATGTTGGCGCGCCGTCAGACGTTGTGTACGTGGGCTCGGTGAACCCGACCCACTACGAGCTGGTGAAGCAGCTGCTGGAGGCCGGCAGGGCCGTGCTCTGCGAGAAGCCGCTCTGCATCAACGTGCGCCAGACGCAGGAGCTGGTGGCGCTGGCCCGGGAGCGAGACACCTTCCTCATGGAGGCGGTCTGGACGCGCTGCTTCCCCTCCGTGCGCCGCATGATGGAGGAGCTCAAGACAGGCACCATCGGAGAGGTCAAACACATTGCCGCCACGTTCGGCATCTACACGCCGGAGAACAACCGAGTCCGGTGAGTGTCGCGGCAGAGCACGGCTCTCTGGTCATGACCGGGCACAATGGAAGCGGTCACACACCCTCTCCTAGTCATGCAGTACAGACTGGCCATTTGCATTTTAAAAAAGGTTATTAATTCTCGAGGATTCGATGTTTGTACCATTGATGACTTTCGCGAGTTTTTTTAACCCGCGCCCGGCTGGGGGTCCTGGATTTCCACGCCCTGCTGGGGGGGGGGGTGTTTGAACACCCCCCCCCTTCTAACTCGGCTCCTGGGCCACGTAGCGAAACGCGGAAGGCGGCGTTCGAAAGAGCGTCAAAAATAATGACGAAATCACTTCGGTCAATTTTTTGGTCAGGTCAAAGGTCAGGTCACCAGAGGTCATTAAAGGCAAAATTTCGCCGATTTCCAGGTCGAATGTCGACAATTTCCAAGAAGCCAACGCATAACTCGGGAACCAATAGAGCTACAGCGCCGCGGAAAAGCGCATTCGATAGCCCTATTAACGCCCTTTCTGAGTAATTTTCTCAGATTTGACCTAACGTCAACGGTTTTGCCTGCAGGGGGCAAAAACTGCAAAAATAGACGATTTTTTTGGAAACAGTTTTTCTGCAATAACTTTTGACCCAAGCCTTGTACGAGCTTACTTTTACCGGCATCGTGTTCCTCTCGTCAAGACGCATCGAATGAACTATAACTTGACCTTGAAAGGTCAACTTGAAAATTTGACCTCAGGTCAAGGTCATGACCTGACCGGAAAGGGTCATGTTGCATATCAGTCGATCCGTATCGTCGAGCGGAACACATCTAAGGCGTTTTCATCGCTCTAGCATGCCTCTATCAAAAGTTATTTGCGAAAAACTGTTAGATACCATTCGTGACCTAAGATGACCTCAGGGCATAAACAGGGGTCACGGACACCATTTTCATGTTCAGTGTGTCTAAACCACTTGTAATTCAGTGTTTGGGAGTGTTTATAATGTCATTCGTCCAAAAGAGGCGCATTTCAATTTTCTCCCATTGACTTATAATGGGGAGGTCGCAAAATTGACCTGACCTTAGGTCATCGATATCAAAATTCTGAGATATACATTTTGTACATGCTATTGCTCTTAGCAATCGCTGAAAGTTTCAAAGCGATCGGTCACTCGGTGTAGCTATGACAGACATTGAAACTTTTTATGTGGTGAGGTCACTTCAAGTGACCTGGTGACCTGACCTTGAATGACCTTGGTCTGAAATTTTCACAACATGTGTAGAATTGATGTAGGATAAGGTGTACCAAAAACGGCGGCGCTCCGCGCCGCCGTTTTTGAGATATTCGCGAAAAACCACAAGGGGGGGTGTTCAAACACCCCCCCCCCAGCAGGGCGCGGGTTAATATAATCGTCACATTGATCTGAGCATAGTTAATATTTTCGATCGCGTTATTGAATATTTCATGTTGGTTTGTCATGAATATCCCAATCATCGCCTTTATGTCGCATCGGAAGCAGTCGTGAGTAAAGGAATGGGGCGAAACAGGAACCATCGCTTCAGCCATCATTCCTAATGTTTGAGTCGCCGGTCCAATGTCGCTAGTTGATTGCAGCGCCGAACACGCGTTGCGAAATAAAGTGAGCCAATCTCGTCCGTAGGTGTGACGAAATTGAGCCTGTTCGCCAAATATTTTGACGGGTGTAGTACTCGCACAGCCTGTGCAACGTAAAATAAACGGTCATGTAAAATGGACGGGACGGACGTCATGCTTGACTCACTCAATTTGGTAAGTGTATCAGTATCATATTTGAAAAACCGCTATGTGCAGTGTGCACCATCCATCAGGCGTCAGTATTGTTTGTTTTCGCCCTATCCAGCGTTCGTTGGCACCTCCCGTCTGCAAGTTTGGTTTTCATCGTGGTGTCCGGCCCTCCGTCGCCCGCCGTGCGTTTCGCCGCCCCGGTATCGTCTCTCCCCCCCGGTCTGCCTGTGCCCCCCCCCCCGGCTATATCTCCGCCATCTTGCCTGTATCCATGGCCTGTGTGGCCGGAGGTGGGGAGGTGCGGTATGGGGACCGCCGGCCGCTACTCCTCTGCCGAGTCACGGTGACATGCGGTCTCCGTATCGTCACTTGACCGGCCTTGGTGGCTCGTGGAGATGCCGGGGACGACGACGGTCGAGGGCGGCACCCTTTTACCCCCCCCCCCCCCATATGCCGGAGTTTCGATTGGTACTCATCAATGGTCAATGTCCGTATAGTAAGTGCTGCGTCATGTTTTGCTGATGGCGTTTTCTGCACCACAGATCCGATCACGATACGGAAACTGACTTCGGCGTCAAACTTTACCCATTAGCAGGCTGACAGATTCTGTATCGGAGAGGCTCATTTCCAGCAATGTTCGGAACGAGATTGTGTTTGTCTTTTGCCCAGAACTTTTATCAGAACAGAACTTTTGTCAAACTTTTGCCCAGAACGAATATGAATATGAATATTCTTCCTCAATCTAACTTTGTTAGCTAATTTTTTTTTTTATCGATTTACCTGTTAAAGCGCTTGTATTCGGGCTCAGAGCAATCGATTGATTGAGTTGCGACGCCGACAGTGCCGCAGGCTGCCAGCTCACCAATGCCGGGGTAGAGCCGGTGGAGGAGGGGATGGGCGGCATACCTCCTCCAGGTAGACTCCACGCCACACACGGTGCCCCTTTTCCGTCGCCCGTGTGTATTGTTTGATTACTGTTGCAGGCTCATTCGCGGTAGATGGCTAACAATTGATTATATTAAGGGAAGCAAATGCCTATTCATTTTCCACTTTCAATATTGGTGACTCTGACCGCCAAATTCGCGTATTTTTCACTCAGGAAATCACCTTATCGCGGTGGTCACCCGTACTCTTTTGTGTTCGTTCCGTGAAGCTGCAGAGGTCAGTTTCGAGACCGTAAAGCTGACGGGTAGGCGTCGGCTGGCACCTGGGTATCGAAATCTCTAATCACACGGGTAATGGCCGTCGCTGGCCGGCGCGGTGTCGGCCTTCAAAGTTTGAAATGTCGCACGCCGGACGCGAGTCGGTGCTGTCGGGACCGGACGTCGGCTAATGGCATAGCTCTGTCTCCGGCCGGTGACCGGTGCGCCGCCCTGTGCAATCTCCGCCCGGTCTGCACGCAACTCCCGAGTACGGCGGTAGGCGATCTGGGGGGCTGGCGATTGACGTCATCCGGTCGGCTGTCGGCGCGCCTGGTTATAATTATTGCCAGAAAATCGGTCGTGTTAGGTACCTGAATCGCGGGATGTCCTCGACCCTCCCATTACTCTTATTGGTCGGCATCGCTCAATTCCTCATAGGTAGGCTCATGAACACGCTTAGTGCTGATGTGCGCTATCTAAGTCTGCCGGAAACGCCATGAGAAATGCAAAAGAAAAAAGTATCCTCGGAACACACGGGGACCAGACTGACCCCAGCACACCGAAGTGGCCGACACATCCGTTTGGTCTCAGTACACTGATTGGGCCCCAGTCTGTTGTTACCTCAGTACACTGCCGAACCTCTCTGACCGGTGACGGCGCTCCCCCGGCAGCACGAAGGCGACAGGCGGCGGCACGGCGCTCGACCTGGGCGTCTACTGCGCCCAGCTCACCAACCTGGTGATGGATAACCAGAGCTGGAGCCGGCTGCGCACACTGGGCCACCTCAACAACGAGGGGTGTGACCTGAGTCTGAGCACCAGCGTCACCTACCCGGGCCGCGAGCTGGCCACGCTGGTCACGCACTGCGAGGTGGCCATGGAGTGTGCGGCCGTCATCACCGGCACAAAGGGCATCATGAAGGTAGGCACGGGTGGGCGCGCTGTCTACGGAGCACAGCTGGTCTCCGTGTGCGGATGGGTTTTGACTATTTGCTGCGAGATGTTCAGTATACCGTCGATCTTTGGAATGGTCATCGTCAATTTATCAAAGTGACATGTGTATTCTTTATCGGACTTTTCTTAGGAATATGGAGCTGTTTTCCATCCTTTTCGGAGTGTTTTCAAATCGACAGCATGCCGCCCTCGATCGGCAACCTTTCTATGACATAACCCGGCTTTTCTTCACTGTGTGGCGAGTGGTGAACCTATGTGTCATGCGACCACTGCCAGCGTGACCCCGACCCGCCCTGCGGCCGCCGTGTCCGTCCGCACCCACTGACGCCCCCCCCCCCCCGGTCTGCGCGCAGCTGCTGCCGCCGTTCCACGCGCCCACGGAACTGGTGCTGCCGTCGGGCACCGTCTCCTACCCGGTGCCGCCCTCCTTCCCGGGCGCGCAGTACAACTTTGAGAACTCAGCCGGCCTCCAGTACGAGGCGCTGCACGTGGCCGAGTGCCTCCGGAAAGGTGCGTACTATTACCTGTGCCGCCCTCCGTGGGGAGTGCTGCTGAACAGGGGGAACGAGGGGCCTGAAAGGCCGGACTGTCCGTTGGGGTCCGGGTTCCTGTATTCTTCCACCGAGCTAGCCCATTTTACCATTTAAGTGAAGCACATAAGTCGATTGAATTAATCAAACTTGTACCGAACTGTCCCTCAAGTGGACCCGCCTCTTGTCTGTCACGCGATGATTACTGAAACGCGATAAGGTCTCACTATTTGCCGTACTATATGGAGTGCCCACGGCTATTGATAGCGCAGAATCTCAAGACGTCTTTCGAAGTCAAGAGATAGTACATGGACTATAGTGATGTTTATGCGGACTCGCGTACCGATAAAACAAAGTAAAATATTCGTGAATCCGTTATTAGAATAATCGGGGATTTTATTTCCATTCGCCTTGCATTTTTTGACAGCTTAATCTTGGCAAAGCAGGCTGTGCGTACTCTTTTCAAACATGATTTTTTGCGGTTGGGATTTTATGGATATGCGACCTCAACAACCTTCATTATTTTAGTCGTTAGACACTGCGTGCTCTGGTAGCCATGGCGCTCGGTGAGTCTCAGTGCGCTGTATGTGGGATGTGTGACCGTTCCGCGTCGCCGAGCCGCCCCGTTCCGCTACAGGTCTGAAGGAGTCGCCGCTGATGTCTCTCTATGACACCATCCGCACGGCCGAGATGGTGGAGGCCATGAGGAAGTCTGCCGGCGTCGAATATCCCGAGGACGACTTCCATTTCGACAGCAGCACGCCCTCATTCAACCAGGATTGTTGCATGTAGGGCGGGTCAAAGGCGCGTATCGCTCCTACAAGCCATGGGGCAGCCGCTGTTAACGGGGTCAGACCAGGGGCACCAAAAGGGCGCAGAAGCAGTGTTGGGATAGATGCTTAGGACCCCTATGCGCGAAAAAAAAACTCGAAAGGGGGATGGGTTCAGACTAGGGGTAAGACCGCAGGGCTCGGGACCAATTTTTTGGACTGGGAGTTCCGGTGTGCGGGATTTCCGTTTACCGCACTTGTCTAAGCCAGTCTCTGCAGGTTTCTGCACTGCCTTCTTCAGAATCTATTCGGATTCGTAGTTAACCGTGTCATGCTACCCCGTGAGCTGATGGCGTGAGATGATGGTAGAGGGTCGGCAGGCCCGTCGGCGGTGCTTACCAGTTCGACAGTGCAGTTAGTGTGGGACAGTTTAAGAGTAATCGCTCTACTTCACCGTACAGATATCGGATATCAACCGTGCCTGAAGATGTAGAGCGTCGCTAAAAGTGGGATGATTCGCGGGCCCAGGGCTGGCCACGGCTATGTGTGCTGCGGTCACGGATTGGAACGGTATTACGGTGGATCAGAGGCGAATGCCAGGGGCTACGTCAGTGTTTGTTGTTATATGCCTACAGTTGAATGGTATTTTAGAAGCAGGACAATGCCCACTAATCACTTTGATTAAGCATTGTAGCCGTATTACCGATCTATCGCTGGAAATAGTTAGCTAGGTGCCTTTTTGAGGACCGGAACTTTATTTTGACATGTATGTACCTAATTGCGTGCCATCAATGTATCTTGATTGCATGCGTGGGGCTTGTCAGCCGACCACGAAGATTGCTTGGGGCCTAGCTTGAAAACTGTGATTCAGAGTGGTTATATTCCATATATTTTGATAATCTTACGATATTTGAAATCCAATGAAGTCATGAGCTTTGATGATGCCGTGCGCCGGTGCTGGGTCTTTTATCATGCGTGCTGACATCTGTTGGTGTTCCGATGCGAAGTGCCGTTGTTGGTTCACCGATTAATCCGCTGTGCTTATTAATACAAACTACTGTCACTTGACACGATAGTTCAATGTAAAAAAATGTGAAACGCTGATTCTCATACCTCACTGAGCACTGGCTACTGTAGACGACAGGAAGAACAGGGGGTTCGGCCGCTTTTAGCACCCTAAACAATAAGATTGTGATTTGATAAGCTCCCAAAGCACATTGTTTCAGCGCACACACGTCTATCGCAGTGTTCGATGCAATATTGCTATGAACCAGGCTGCCAGCGTCACCAAGAACTATGAAGCATGAACATTATGGCATTTGATGAGCTCGTAAAATTTAATGTGATAACCCGATAACCTAGCAAGACTTTGTAATATGAGGTTAGTTACTTGCAACACTGATAACGAAGTGGTATTGGTTCTAAAAAAAAACATTTTCTGTTTTTTCTTTATGACAGTACAAATCACCTCTGAAATTTTCGTTATGTAACACAATTGTTTACTCCAGGGGCCCCTGGGTGGTGTTTCACCCCGGTAATGGCAGCACGCTGCTATTCTGCTGACGTCACACTTGTGGCAGTGGCTGAATCCCAAGATATTGCAGCTGTTTAGAAATAAACAAAAAGTAGGGAAATTGACGCAGATGTTACATAAAATAACCGCGGGCCATCAATCGTTCTGTTCTAAATTGCGTTACCTTAGGCTGCGAGCAGCATTATACCTCAGGTTGTCATGACAATACATTATCATACATTGATCAAATACATTTCTACGAAATGAAAGGCGTTTTTAAAATGATCGCCCGCAAGCTATATTTTAATTTAGATCATGAACATATGTAATGAAGAATTCTGTTGCTTCATAAAAAGTGAAATATTGGCATCATAAAGGGAGATGGTTAGCTATCGAACAGGTGCACAAGGTACATGCTGTACACGAGGGCGCGCGAATATTTCAATTTGAGCTATATTTGGTTATACCCGTTATACCTTGAATTGTGTATGTAGGTTTTTATTTTCAAGGTTTTTTGTACCCATTTACTTTGCTGGTGTTTGATTATTTGATGTACTGAAGCCTAATATTTGCATACCTTTCTGGCTCACCCTTTTTCCCACAGCATGCGAGACGCCTGCTGTATGAAAACCAAATGTTATATTTGCTCCGCCCCTATATGTTTTTAATTTGTTTCCAGAAAATGGTTCAAGAATCCCAATCAGGATCATCTGGAGATGCCAAGCTTCCAGCAGGAAATGTCCCCTGGTAAGCACATATCTATCTGTACATTCTAACTACATGTAGGTACAGCTGTCTTTCAAAATGATGAACTACTGAAGGTACAGTCCACAGCAGAAGTAATGTGTGGTTTCAGTCATGGGTATGTTCTGCTTCTGAAGCCTAGGAACGATTAGCCAGACTGCAACGAGACTTTAAATGTAGCTTACACGTATCTTCACCCTTGCAGCTACAACTTTATCTATTGATGCCCGACTGGAAAAAATGCACGCTTTCGTCGAGAACTCGAGCGTAGTTGGGCGTTTGCGCCGAAAATTTTCGGCGTACTTCGGCGTAAATCGACGGCTTGCGCCGAAATTTTCGGCGTACTTCGGCGTAAATCGCGAAAAAAACGTCCGGGGGTGGCACCAAACCCCCCCTTGGCCGGCGAGGGTTAAATGTCTTCGGGAGTTAAACATCTTAAATATCACTTATCTTGTCTCGTGTTCGTCTCAGGGTATTTAAGTCATGTTCAGTGAACCTGATTGCGACTCTCCCACGGCGGGAACAGTTCATCGATCCAGAGTGAGGTTATGGATTGTCGGATCCCCTAGTTCAGATAACGTATGCTATCGTGTGCGTATTGACCGTTGTGATTCCTGTATTTCCGGCGTGTGGTTTGTGAGCGGACGCTGGCAATCGGTCCCGCGTGGCCTGGTATCTGCCCGATCCCACTTCGGCCGTGCTTGCACCACGCCTGTTGAAGGCCCCGTCTGGGCGGTGTTTCACGGGCTGCTGCTACCACGCTGCTATCAAATTGCGCGAGCTGACGTCACACTTGTGGTAGTGTTGGAGCAATGGGCCTGTTGATGTCTCCATGGAAACCCAATTTGACAAGTCGTAAAATCGGCTTGCTGCTATCACCGGTGAAACAGGGCCCTGGCGTCAGTCACCGGCTGGGCACTACTGCTGATCAGAGCCGGGCAACAAAATAAAGGTTACGTTATGGAACATGCCAGTGAGTTTGTGAGTCAGGAGATTTTGTGATAGCGAACCCTGGTGCTCGGTCCCGCATGGCCTGCTGATGTCTTTTGTCTGCCCGATCCCGTCGACCGTGCCAACAACCGTCTGTAGACAGTAGTCACTGGAAGACAGTCACACACACACGCCAGCCCCCCCCCCCTCGACGAAAAGTGCGTGGCTACAGCCTGCAGCCATCAGTAAGCCTTGAAAATTTTCGGCGCATGAAGCATGGCTTGGTAAAATAATTTTGGCGCATAAACCCTTGCGCCGAAATTTCGGCGCATCACCTCCGCCGAGAACTTCAGCGTAGTGGAGGCATTTTTTCCAGTCGGGTATTGATGTCTACTTTTCAATCAGTCCGCATTTAAAAATCGTCGGTCAAAGCCATCTGTTGAGATTGGTAAAACCACACATTACTTTAGCGGTGGGCTGTACTTGCTCACCTTTTTACACATGCATACATAAGATCTGGCTAATTTCAGTGATTCCTTATTTTAACCTGCACATCAACATAGATGGGTTTGGGGCCAAGTTTGCATCTATGTTTTACCTGAAACAGACTTTCCGCAGTCAGGAAATCGCATGCGAAAGCCTATTCAGATACATGGAAGCACACTTGCGTTTATCGCATGCACCTGGATGTGATTGTCTGATGCGGGAAAATTATGATGTATTTGAATAGGCTCTTACATGTGATTTCCTGAATGCAGAAAGAGTCTGTTTCAGTCTTTAGAGTTTAGAGTGGGAAGGGGGGCATAAGCATAAATAGTGGCTGCAAATAACATCTTGACAAATAAACTAATGCAAATGCAATGGCAAGCCTGCTCTTATATCTCTTGCATTGGGGGTACCTACTGAAGACTTATTTTGACACAGATATAATATGCATGGCCTCAACTTGAGAAATAAATAACAAGATTGTGGTCAGGTCAGGGATCATTGTCAGGAAAGATGCACCCTGAATTGTAGGTACCTAGTGTCTTTGTGTTGGTGCCTGTTTATCCCTATGGGAAAAGGATGAAACAACTCAAAGACACTTAAACTTAGGATGTTTCACTCAGGGCTGTGGAGTCGGAGCTGGAGTCGGTCGGAGTCGACAGTTCTGCCCGGGGTCGGAGTCGCCAAAATCTTACCAACTCCGACTACGGATTCGGAGTTAACGCTGCGTGGCTCAACGGCATACACTGCACTTGTTAGATTGCCGACGCTGCGCTGGAATTTAAATTTTGTTGAAAAAAGGCCATGTTATTGTTTTGAATGAACGTTTTCAGCGAAAGAAGCAAGACTGTGAATTCCCCAGAATCTGCTTATTTTTGTTGCGTTTTCCATGAACTTCAATATCATGATATGGATTTTAATAGAACCGTCCGGAGTCGGAGTCGGAGTTGGAGTTGGAGCCGGAGTCGATTTTTGAAGCCGGAGTCGGAGTCACCCTAAAATCCATCGACTCCGCAGCCCTGGTTTCATTCCTGATGATGATCCCTGATGACAGTCTTGTTTATTTTGCAAGTTAACCTGTGCCGTGCGGGGGGTGTTTTCACGCCCCCCCCCCCCCCGCCTCAGGTTTTTACCTGTTCATACATCTTTTCTGCACATGTAAAAATTTCAGACCCAGGTCGTTCAAGGTGAGGTGACCAGGTCATGTCAAGTAACCTTACCTCAGCAAAAGTTCAAAGGCTTGCTATAGCTACACTGACTGAACGATCACTTTGAAAATTTCCGGGATTGATAAGAGTAACAGTATGTTAAAAAAAGCTCTTGGATTTTTAATATCTAACCTAAGGTCAGGTTAGTTTTGCGACCTCTCAATTATAAGTCAATGGAGGTAAAATTTGAATGCGTGTCTTTTGGACGAATGTCGTTCTAAACCCTCTCAAACATCAGTTCGTAGGTAACATGACTCACTGAATTGGAAAAATGCACCTGTGACCCCTCTGTGTGCCCCTGAGGTCATCTCAAGTCATGAAAGGTCACCAGCAGTTGGTTGACTAGGTATAACTTTTGATGGAAACGTGCTAGAGTGGTGAAAACACATTAGATGTGTTCAGCTCGACGATATCGGTCGACTGATATGCAACATGACCTTTTCCGACCAGGCCATGACCTTGACCTGAGGTCAAATCTCAGAGCATTTTCCAGAAAGGTCTGTAAAAGGGCTATCGAGTGCGCTTTTCTGCGGTGCTGTAGCTCTATGGGTTCTAGACTTAACCCTATTAGTGGCAGGGGGGGGGGGGTTGTTTTCATCCACCCCTCAGGTTTTTCGGGAATATCTCCGAAACCGCTGAAGCTACGATGCTGAAATTTTCTGACTTTTCCTAAAACTAAATTGGGCACATTCCCTAAAAATTTCAAGTTCATAACTTTACCAGGGGCGGCTCCAGAGCACTGGGAATTGGGGGGTCCTATTCGTGAAGCGAGTCATTTGGGCGAAGATCACGATGCTGATGTATTATAACTGTATGCACCAGTTTTACGAACAGTGAATGAAAGGTATCATGTGATAACATATACAAAGTTATTCTGCATCCTCTTTTGACACGTTTTTGCTATAATAGGCTGATCCAGGCGTCCAAAAAGGGGGGGGGGGGTTCATACTGAAATGTACAGTACCATTTGATGAGCGGTTTGGTAGTAGTTACATTGCCAGAAAGCGATCAAATGCACCATACCATGTATTTGTGAACACTTACAAGCGATGTTTTCCCCTACAATCATAGGCGCGTCCAGGTGCTGAATATTGGGGAATATTTAGTAATTACATCTGTATCCGCCTATGATTTTTGAAAATGCATATTTTTAGGATCCATGTGAATTCCTGGTTCATTCTCTATCGATCGGCAAAAGTTGCGTTAAGATTGGTTCAGAAACCTAGCCGTGATAAACAGTCTAAAATGTATCTGCAATTTGCCCGTTTTTACCCCCCTCTACCCCCTATTGACATTTTTTAAATTTTATTTTTAAGAAATGTAGATCACGTTGAGCGAAATCGAATGCCGTTTGAATTTTGAAAATCGGCCAGTTAGATCTCGAGATATCAGGGGGGTCGTAAACAGCCCCCCCCCCCCTCCTGCCACTAATAGGGGTAGCCAGGAGCCTGCCACTAATGGGGTTAGCCATTCACAGTTTTCAAAATTGTTGAAATGGACTCAATTTGACCTTCGATGACCTCTGGCGATCTGACCTTTGATATCACCTAAAAATGACTGAAGTGTTTCCATCATTATTTTTGAGGCTCTTTCGAATGCCGCTTACCGAGTGTCGCTACGTGGCCTAGGAGCCGAGTTAGACGGAGGAGGGCAGGACCGTCCCCCCCCCCCCCCCCCACTCCCAGCACGACACGGAAAACTCAGGCCACTTCCAGCACGGCGCGGGTTAAACTTCCAGGCGGTGGGGGCATTTCCCCCCCCCCTCCCTTAGTTTTTTCGATAGATCTCCAGAACTGTTGCGCCAATCGTCACCAAACTTTCAGTACCCTCCCGTGAATAGCTTTTGCACATTGTGACAAAAAAAAAATCCAAAGGCTATGATAGGTTGGCCACTAATGACTTCGGAGTGACGTCATTTCTGCCATTTTCGACCCAAAAAAAGGTTTCGCCGGAAGAGCGAAAGAGATACAGAAAAATGTTTATATATATGTTAGATATAAAAGGTGTAGAATTAACCGGGCTACAAAACTGCTATTTCGGTTTTTTGAAATTTTTGGATTTTGATCTCCAAAAATAAAGAATATATTTTTTGAATATAATAGCAGAAAAATTCAAAAAGTTTTTTGAATTTAAAAAAAAATGGAATAAATGTGAGTTCCTACCGCCTTCTATCCACAAACCAAATTTGAGATCGATACCTTTTTTTTGCCAAGTTATAGCGAAAGAACTGTTCAAAATTGATGACGTCAAATTTTCAAACTCAATTTTTAGCAATTCTAGACCTCATAGCGCAAAACAGACCACCATTAGACTCCCCGTGACAAGCTGCATCGAATCAAGACCCATTTTATGCAAAACAATCAACTTTGAAATTTGACCTTTTTTGACCTGACCTTGACCTGACCTCCACCAGAAAGTGACCTCAACCGTATCTGATGGTCTTATAACCAACACGATTGAGTTGGAAATGAAAAATTAGCCATAAAACATGCATCAGACAACGTTAGTAAAGTTGGGTTCATGTGGTGAACTGAGTGGTGACCCTTGGTGACCTGACCTGTGACCTGACCTAGTATGATCAGTGACCTCTAATAGCAACATATGTACTAGGCAACTGACGCCCTATCGCTGATTTTCAACAAAATGCGTTTTACTCGGTGTTATAGCGCATTCCCTAGAAGATCCGTGAACGGTGAATTATTTTATCTTTGACCTGACCTGTGACGTCATCGGTGACCTCGAGGTCAATGAAATTTGGTTTCCTTCGACAAATTTGACAGGGCTATCGAACGCCGTTTGAATTTTCCTATCCGTCCAGTAGTTTCGGAGATACGGGGGGGGATCCCCCCCCCCCGCGCGGAAGGTGTCCGTGAGGCCCACCGCCTGCCTGGTTAAGGCCATGCGTATTATATCCATGTCAAAAGAAGTTGTCAGTACCCCTACTACAAGAGAAAAAAATAGAGCAAGCTCGCCATTGCGTTTGCATTGCATTTGGCCTAAATAATGTCAAGACCTGATTTGTGGCCACAGTACTTGCCTCCATAAGGGGGCAGACAACGATCTTGAGAACAGCCACCTAACCAATGGAGCAGTCAATGGAATGGGTATACAGGAGGATAAGGTCTCCTATTTTTACTTAGGTAATTTTAAGGCCAGGGTAAAAATGAAGTCACAGGGGTCAAAATACTTTTAAAAAAGTAATTTATGATATAGTTTTTTTTTGCCAATAACTATTGATCTTATCAAGCTGGAGCAAAAAAGGACCATCCAAATCCACTAGGTAGTCAATTCATAAGCATGTATGGGTTGACCTCAAAAGAACAAGGTCAAAAGTTGACTTCAATTCACTTGACCTCAAGTTCTAAATGCTTGTCATTTGCTGCGTCTTTACGAGCTAAACACAGTGAGACAATTATGTAAAGAGTTGTTAGCAAGATCATGTTTTGACCCTTGACGATGTCACATAACCAAGCAAGCAAGAACAGTCAGTCATTATATAAAAGCAATGCATTTAGGTTGTCAAGTTTGGTTTTAGCTCCTTAATGATGTTATTCATGGTTGAGTCGGCGATTGCAATGCCTGTTTGTAAAACAAAGGCATATGCTTTCCCTGACTTATATTGGTAGGTCAAAAAATTGACCTGAGGCTCCTATCCACTTACCTACGTGCCCATCGCGTTTACGCTCCGTATGTTAAGCGGTCTTAATGCAAAAAAAAAAAAACGGCAGGCGGCTATTTTTCTGTTGGTAAAACTGGCCTCAGGTCATAGATCAAGAAGCAATATGATATGGTAAATATGATAAACATGGTGTAGGTACCTACTTACAACCTTATTTATACTTCCTGCAACTTTCAATATGACTCCATCATCTACTGCGGCTCTGACACAGCAGTCACCGAAATGTGATTAGAGGTTGGCAGATAAATAGTTGTTCTTATGTGCTTACATATCTGGTTATAGTCATTGATTTGTTGCATTACAGGATAGAGAAGTATAGGCCAGAAGATTTCCTGGATATTGTTGGCAATGAAGACACTGTGGCACGCTTGGAGGTGTTCTCTAGAAATGGAAATGTTCCAAACATTATACTGGCTGTAAGTATATCACTATTTTACATAGATAACTAATAATCCAATCTTGTTATTTTTATGCATTCTTCCACAATTTTTCCATAGGTGCATGACCGACCATAGTAATCTTATATGCATTATATGGTCATATGTTATAAAGGTACTTGTCTCAGTGCTTCACTTCAGTTGCACCAGGGGTAATTTCTGCTTCTCTCTCTCTCTCTCTCTCTCTCTCTCTCTCTCTCTCTCTCTCTCTCTCTCTCTCTCTCTCTCTCTCTCTCTCTCTCTCTCTCTCTCTCTCTCTCTCTCCTCTCTCCTCTCTCCTCTCATCTCTCTTCTCTCTCTCTCTCTCTCTCTCTCTCTCTCTCTCTCTCTCTCTCTCTCTCTCTCTCTCTCCCCACACATACGAAACTCACCCGGCCCAGCTCTTTTGATTGTCCTCTGACTTGGACCGCGTCCCGGCAGGGTCCGCCCGGCGTCGGCAAGACCACCACGATCCTGGCGCTGGCGCGGCACATGCTCGGACCGGCGTTCCGCTCCGCTGTGCTGGAGCTGAACGCCTCCAATGAGCGCGGCATCGACGTCGTGCGCAACAAGATCAAGTCGTTTGCGCAGACGCAGGTGACGCTGCCGCCCGGCCGACACAAGATCGTCATTTTAGACGAGGCCGACAGGTGAGCGGTACAGACAGGGAACGGTGAGCCATGAGGAGAGTGCTGTCTGTTGACCGACCGTGACTGAACTCGACCTGATGCAACCTTTTCCTTTATCAATAAAGAAATGGAAGAAAGTTAGCAGAAAAGTCAAATATTTTGTAATTCTTGATGTTTTTTAGTTACTAGGCACTGATGGCATAAGCCTTCACCAGAACGAGTCAGTTTGCTCCATGCCCCTGAAGGAATTAGAGGTTCTTGAATTTTGACGGAAATTTGAATGTCACGATAATGTGATCAATGGCATTCCTTCAGTTGTGGCATTGCGTGGTTGGTTGATGGAGGGATGGGTCTTCTGCCCTCTGAATAGCTCGGGGTGGTTGGATATGTTTTGGCTCCTCTTTACCGCCAATCTAAGGAGGAATCTCTCGACGTCTGACATCCCCCCCCCCCCTCCCTCCACCCCGCCGTCAGTATGACGGACGGCGCTCAGCAGGCGCTGCGCCGCATCATGGAGCTGTACAGCAACACCACCCGCTTCGCGCTGGCCTGCAACACCAGCGAGAAGATAATCGAACCGATCCAGTCGCGCTGCGCCATGCTGCGCTTCAGTCGGCTCACGGACGCGCAGATCGTCAACAAGCTGCTGCGCGTCTGTGAATTGGAACAGGTGAGGGTCAGGGAAATGGGATGTGGGAGGTGAAACTGGCGGGGTGTGCGGCGAGACAAACTCCTCCGCCATGGCAGCTCCTATGGGCGCCGATGACCACCGCAGTGCGGGCGCTCTAAAATGTCAAATAATGATCCTCATCATCATCGAGGCAGCTCCTAGCATAGGGCGAGGAATGTCGCGATGGAGATTCTAGGCTATAGGAATGGGAGTTTCCAGGACGCGGTGAGCGATACGAGAGTCTGAATTAGAACTCTGGGATGCCTTTTCGACATTGATCAAGCCTGGCGATGGAAACTCGTTTTGATACGTATCCTTGATCTTCGTCCTAGCCATCCTTTCGTGTTGCTTTGTTATGTGACGTTTTCCAGGGAACGTTTGCATTGCTTGTGATTTCACGTGTATCGGCTATTCCACATTTTGCGCGGGTAAGCGTAAGGCAGTAAACACATTATTCTGGATCTTACCACCTGACCATTGAGCACACCCAGGGTTCATGCAATGTTGCATCACTTACCGACACTGTTAAACTTCCTGGTGATTGAATATCATAAGGTCAATAAAGTTACGTACATGAGTGGAATTCTTGAGACATTTACCGGCTTAGTAACGACCTGGCCTTTTAGTTGATTCTGTACATTAGTGTAACAACTATTTGTATTGTATTGTATTGTATATTTTCACAAACTTCTTCCGTGCGAACACAGCTTTTTCAGAAGTTCGAGTCATACAAAGGTTAAGAGAACTTAAAACTATAAAGACATTAAAACAATGATGACACATATAGACTCCTACCTAATCAGAACTTTCATTTGATTAATTTTGACCACTTCTATGCATCATCCTCAGACGGCTTTTGAACTGCCCGATCGACGAGCTCTGCAACACAATATTTGGCAGTGAATTCCAAGAGGTAGCGGCGCGGTACGAGAAAGTACGTTGGGTGGCGGCGAGTCTCACTCTAGGCAGGTCAAACTGCTCAGACCGGGCGAGGCGGGTGTCACGGGAGGCTGTATCACGTCTCGGAGTAAATAACCGGCGCATCGCAATCGGGGTGTCCGGATCATGAAGCGCACGATATACACGAATACAGTCACGCTCCGAAATCATATCCTCAAAGTTCACCCAGCCAATAGACCTAAGCACGGGAGACATGTGCTCGGCTCGTCGTGCGCCAGTGACCACACGGGCTGCGAAATGCAGCAGCTTTTGTATGCGCTTCAACTGGCTGCTGCATGCACTAGCCCAAACTGGCAAACAGTACAAGATATGGCTGAATACGTGGGCTTGGATGATGGCCAGGAGCGCTTCAGTAGTGAAGTGACGTCTAAACCGATACAACGAGACGAGAATACCCGTACACCGGCGAACTACCAGTGACACGTGGCTCTCCCATGTGAGGGATTGGTCAATGATGACACCTAGTACTTTGATGTTTTTTGATGGGGTAAATTTGTGACCAGACATTTCGAAGAAAAAGGAGGAACTTTCCTTGACGGCTTGCCGTGTGCCTAAAAGTGAAAATACCGTTTTTGAGGGGTTCATTTTTAGGGAATTTACTCTCAGCCACATTTCTATGGACTTGAGGGATTCCTCGAGGCGAATCTTGAGCAAACTCATGCTGACTTTGTCCCTTGAAGAACTGTCGAGCAGTTGGGTGTCATCAGCGTAACTGATGAGCCGTCCATGGGGAAGAAAATTTCGCATTTCGTTAACCGTGAGACAAAAAAGAATCGGCCCGATAATCGATCCCTGGGGGACGCCACACGTCACTGGCAGCACAGTGGTGCCGCCGCGAACCATCTGTCTTCGATCGCTCAGGTAGCTGGCAAACCAATCAGACGAGATGCCGTACCATCCCATCTTATTGAGAAGGACGCCGTGGTCGACGCTGTCAAATGCCTTACTGAGATCGAGGGATGTTATCGATGCTAGGTGACCTGAGTCGATCTTCTTCGAGATCCACTCGACAGCGTCGACCAGGGCGTCCTCTACACTGTGTCTGCGTCGGTAAGCATATTGTGTGTCGCTCAGTATGCCGTTATCGCATAGGTAAGCCGATAGCTGGTCGCACACCACTCGCTCACAAATCTTTGACAGTACCGACAACAATGAAATTGGTCGATAATTTTTGGCAGTGTTGATATCGCCAGACTTGTGAATCGGCACAACAAGTGCAACTTTCCATTTTAACGGGAACACGCTGGTCCTTATCGTCGCGTTAATCAGGTGGAGGAGCATTGTGCCAACCACAGGGAAACACTTCCGCACTGCATGCATAGGCACACCGTCGAGTCCCACCGCTCTGGAGCCACTCATACCCCTGATAGCTAATGACAGCTCCGGGAGTGTGACGGGCTTTAGTTTGAAAGCGGACGAGCATACGGTAATGGGACGCGGCGCACTCTGTTCTACGGCAACATGATCAACATCGGCACGCAGCTCATCAGCGACACGAGCCCCGATCGAGGAAAAGTACTCGTTAAACGTGTCTGCGTGTTCCGGTCCCACCGCCAATGGGCCTCCACCGCACGTCGCACTCGATCGAATGGCGAATTGCTTCAGCCGCCGCCAAAAGCCGCGATGGTCCTGGTGAGCCAGCTGATCGCAGAGAAACTCCCTGCGCGCGCCGGCGAGCCTGCTCTTCACCTGGTTGCGGAGGCGGCGGTAGATGGCGCGGTCTTCTTCCGTCCGGTACTGCAGCCAGTCCGTGTGAGCGGCGTCCCGCTCGGCCATCAGCGCCTGGAGCTCGGGGTTTTCCTTAAGCCATGGGCACCCAAGCGGTGCTGATCTCGTCCGAACTGTCGGGCAGTGACAGTCCATGACGGCGTCCCAGATGGTCATGAACTCGTCCAGTTTGGCGTCGACGCCGACGGCTTGAAACATCGGCTCCCAGTCCGCCTGCAGCATGTCTAGGCAGATGGCGCTCCAATCAGCCCGGTCCCAGCGACGTATCTCGCGGTACTCAGGCTTAAGACGGATTTTAGGCAGAGCGATTGAGCAAGTCACCGGCTGGTGGTCACCGATGGCCTCCCTTAGGACTGTGACCGATGCTCGGGTGTCCGGGAGATTGGTTATCACGTGATCAAGGATGGCAGGCGTGGGCTCTAAGTGAGTCGGTTTATCAACCAGCTGCTGCAGATTCAGCTCTCCGAGTAGAGCGCCGTACGCCGCCACTCCACGTGAGTCCGGTTTGGAAACGTCAATATTCATGTCACCGAAAAGGAACACTGGTTTGCCGGTGGCTAAAGCATCCTGGAGCTGGTCACGAAGGCTGTCGATGAACCGTGACACGGTGCTCCCCGGTGGTCTGTACAGCACCCCAATCACGGCCGACCTGCCCCGGTACGTGACCATGAGCCAGAGCGCGTCGGTGACCGGGTCGCTGCTGTGTATATTCAGACGTTCGGTTTTGATACTGGCGCTGCACAGGATTGCCACCCCGCCGCCTCTCACAGCCGTATTTGCCTTCCGGGGGACTCTCCTGTCTGTCCGGTGCAGCGTGTAGCCATTAAAGGCTAGGTAGGAGTCAAGTACGCTGTCAGTGAGCCAAGTCTCCGACAAACACAGCAACTCCGGTTTCAGGCTGTCAATAAGGGCAGTGACTTCCTCGTACCGGGCCGTGAGCGACCGGACGTTAGCATGGCAGACCAGCATCTGGTCCCGCGTCGTTGTCGTCGGCGGCAGCGGCCGCGTGATAGCGCGCGTCTCCGCCAACGTCAGCCGTCTTTGTGGGCTTGGTACTACCCATTGTCTATGTCTGTTAGCTATCCTTACGTGATACTTTGTTACCTAATCGGAGGGTGTCGGTACAGCTTCTAGTTGTCTCCCTCGGCTACCAGCAGCTCTCCTGTAAAATTGTAGCTCCCGTCGGTATCGTCCGTCAGAGGATGGGGCCGGAGACTCCTCGTTACTGCTCGCAGTTCCCCGTCCCCTCCTTACATCCCACTGTCCCTTGACGTCCGGTCGCCGCTCGGTGCTCAATGTTCTGTCCACCGTCCCCCGTCACCGCTCAGTGCTCAATTCGCCATCCCCCGTCACTGCTCAGTGTTCAATTCATCGTCCCCCGTCACTGCTCAGTGCTCAATTCGCCATCCCCCGTCACTGTTCAGTGTTCAGTCCACCGTCCCCCGTCACTGTTCATTGTTCAGTCCACCGTCCCCCGTCACTGTTCAGTGTTCAGTCCACCGTCCCCCGTCACTGTTCAGTGTTCAGTCCACCGTCCCCGGTCACTGCTCAGTGTTCAGTCCCCCGTCCCCCGTCACTGCTCAGTGCTCAATTCGCCATCCCCCGTCACTGTTCAGTGTTCAGTCCACCGTCCCCCGTCACTGTTCATTGTTCAGTCCACCGTCCCCCGTCACTGTTCAGTGTTCAGTCCACCGTCCCCCGTCACTGCTCAGTGTTCAGTCCACCGTCCCCCGTCACTGCTCAGTGTTCTGTCCACTATCCCCCTCCACTCAGTGTTCAGTTCCCACCGCACCCCGCCTCAGGTCAGCTACACAGACGACGGCCTGGAAGCCATCGTGTTCACGGCGGAGGGCGACATGCGCCAGGCGCTCAACAACCTGCAGTCCACGTTCCGCGGCTTCGGGCACGTCAACAGCGAGAACGTCTTCAAGGTGGGGACGGCGGCGCTGAGCGACCCACGCCCGGCTCTTGGAGGCCGACTGGGCTGAGGGGGCGGAGAAGGGGAACAGCGCGGTGGGGTTGAACAGAGAAATCATGGATCTGGGGTGTCTCGATGCCGGTGAGTTATTCTGGCATTTACCCCCCCCCCCCCCCCCCCTGGCTCATTGTGTGTCATTTGATCTGGATTCAGGTACTTATTTGAAGTTGCTACTGTTTACTTATTTAGCTGCATTGTAGCGAGATAATTTATAAGCAGCGTTCATTAATTTTTATGTGGGACTGCCCATTTGTCCAGTTGCTCACATGGTACGTCGTCTTGTCATACCACAATTAGTTACTGATCGCTGATCCGGACAGTTTAGGTCAGTTGGTCATGATATTATTGTCCGCTACCCCGTGTGGCGTTTTGTCACTTCCCGACCGCTAACATTGGCCGATAACCTTTCCAGGTTTGTGATGAGCCGCATCCCATGCTGATCAAGGACATGCTGTCTCACTGCGCCAAAGCAGATATAGACGAAGCGTACAAGGTAAGCACGTGTTCAACTTGTTAAGTGATTTGATTTGGTCTGATTTTTGTTTTCATTAAAAGTGAAGTTTCCTTACAAACTAAAGAAACATGACCAACCGACCCACTGCAGACTTCTTTATATAGAAAAGTCTACTTCTCTATATAGAGAAGTCTGTGGCCTGCCTATTTTATTTGTCCATCTGTGCTGTTTGACATAAGGTGACTTTGTCGCCTGTCCTATCAGCATTTCCTTCCTCCGCGGGACTCTGACGTACGGTTTTCTGTGCCGCCTTCAGATCATGAGTCACCTTTGGCGGCTGGGCTACGCGGCAGAGGACATCATCACCAACGTATTCCGCATTGCCAAACAGCACGAGCTACCTGAGTACCTCAAACTGGAGTTTATCAAGGTGGGTGCCGGGCCGAGCAGTGCGCTCTCCGTCCCGACCCGTCGGCGCCCGCCCAGGTGGTACCCGCCCGCCCAGGTAACGAGGGCTAAGAAAAAAAAATCAATTTTTCATTTTTTATTTTTGACATAAAAATGCATTTTTCTAGACGAGCTTTGTCCCAGGAATCTAGCGGTGCCATTTGTTTTCACATGCGATGTTCAGAAGTGCCTCTAATTCACGAAAATGCCTATGACGTCACCATGCCCTATGCATGTTGGAGCTATTTTTTACAATTTGGGAGTCGAAAATCAAGATAGAAAGTTGAAATTTGGGACATCTAATGTCCTAATAGAGCTCTATAACATATATTCCGGGTTTTGGGAAATTCTCAAAATTTTGGATTTTATTAGCTGTTTTCCAAAAAATATAGTTTTTGAATTTTTAGGGGTGAAAAACGCATTTTATGGAAAATTTGAGATAGCCATTTTAAAGAACTCGTTGAGCTGCGTCTATTCATGTCCTTAATTTGCAATTTGCTTAAAACCTTGATTTTTGGCGATTTTTTAAACATTTACCACTTTTGACTGAAAACGCCATGTAGTTACATCACTGAAATCGATATATCTAAAAACAAATTGCAAAATTTTTCTTAAAAATTACACAGGAGACGTCAAATTGATGGGGGAGAAGGTATGCCAAGTTTGAAGTTGAAAGCGTAAGCGGTTCATGAGTTATTCAAGAAAAACTGAGGGGGTCGGATCCGACCCCCCCCCCCCGCAGGCGGTCGCGGGTTAATGTTAGGAAGTATTGTTTCGCTAAATATTGTTCTTTTGGCGCTCAGCTTTCACTGGAACTCGAAAACAACAAGTTTATTTTTTTCAAGAATGCCCGGGGGACAGCCCATTGATTAAAAATTATAAAGTTTTTACAAAAACGCAATTTTCAAAAAATGCCATCGATCGATTTCGATAAAAAATACATTTTTGGAATCAGCTTACCGTCAGCTTTCGAATGGTATATACCGTTTCTTTTAAGCCTGAGATGACCTTCCGACGAGCCGTGTAGCGCCTCGCGACAAAAACCAACGGATTGCTCTTGACAAGATCTCGCAAAAGAGCATATTACTTTTGACTGAAGGTCAATGTTTGACTTACAGGTCAAAGTCTGTCGAAATTACAAATCCGCGGTGAAAGCAATCCGCCCACCTGCCGTCCACGGCGACACCCGACCGCGCCGGACAAAAACTTCAATAGCGTCGGTCTGCCCTGTGCTAGCGCCTTAATGCTTTCACGGTGCGGCTCAGAAATGATCGGGGAAGGCTAAGGCATAGTGGACTAACGGGCACACACTGTGTAAACTGCTGTGGGGGAAACGAAAGCATTTGATTTTAAGTAAAAAATTGCGATTGCAGCATGATGACAGATGGTTACATCACCGCCAAACCAAAAGAGATGCGGCCTTTTGTGATCCGGCATTAGAATCAGCAGCCGTGGATAATTTTTGCAGTTTGTATGAAATGAACGCACGCTAGCGGCGTTTGAACTTGCAAGTATCTGACAGTAGTATCTGACAGTCATTTTACGACATAGAAAATGTCACGACTTCTGACAATCATGCACGAGGCCGGTTTTGACAGAAACATGAAAGCTATGTGATTTCAGATGCCTTAGAGATTTCTTTGGTTGGCCATATCGCGATTTACTCGGTTTAGTTAACTTGACTTTTAAGTATTTATGGCCACTGGTGAACCCCATTTGCATCACTGTGCATCTGTTTTCGCAACTTACTGCTCTGTTGTACTGCTTGGCTGCTTTTGTTCGATGAACTCGTATTGCGGAAGTTTGATACTCTGGCAACTTTAACTTAATGCGGCGTGAACTTGCGTTCCTAGCGCTACTTATAAACCTGAATTTCCATACGGATGGATAATATTTAATGGACTGCACTGATGCAGGCAGCCGTTGCTAACGACCCTTCATTAACTTGTTCCTGTTCCTGTGCTTGTTAAATTTATACCAGCTACTGGTTTCTCTCGGCAGGAGATCGGTTACACCCACATGCGCGTAGCGCAGGGCGAGACGACCCTGGTGCAGATGTCTGCCCTGCTGGCCCGACTCTGTCGAGTGGCCCAGCGACCGGCCAACTGAGGTCAGTTCCGACCCAACGGAGGTCAGTTCCAACCCAACCGAGGCCGCCATTCTGAGTGCATAGTGGAGTGGAGAGTCGCCAGCCGTGGTAACTTTGCCTGCCCGTGACGCGCCGCCCGTGGCGGACTGTGTGGCGTGCACGTCGCCGCTGTTGTGATTCAGTGCCGAGCGGAACCGGATTTTGGCTGTTGAACGCGCTTTGGTGCGGTGGTTCCGATTACGTAATGTGTCGACACCTTGAGGCACTCGCCCGTGGCCATCGAAAGCTCGCGATTCTGCGGAACGACGAGGTGTGCAGTGACCATGATGCATGCAGCGGGGTTCGGAACGGCGGCCCCTAGGAGCTGCCCGCGGGTGTCATTAATTTTCATCTGTGGCTCAGTCATCCTGTGCGTGTTGCATTATGCATCGTTTTGTACGTTAGTTATACATATGCAATGAATATCCGCGTTGTTTTCTTCCGTCCCTTGATCAGCTATCAGACTGAGGTCCAGTCAGCTAGGTCTTCGTAATAGTTTAAGCTCGACTTGGTTTAGGCTAATTGTTGGAAGTGAACTGTTGATTCTAGGTCATTCCATTCTTGATTGCCGAGTATCTGCGTAGTTTTGACGAGTGTCCTCTAGCTTTATTATAATCAATAATCTCGGAGCTATGAGCGCTTCTAGAAAGTACGTCCATCTTCTATTCCGAAGATGCGTTTTTTTCCTGTCACTGACTTCAAGGGCTGAACCCAAAAGCATCCTGACAGTTTGTCAAGAGGGAGGAGACAGCTTCCGCTATATTGTGACTTTCCTAGAGGACTTGAACTGAAATAAGGATATCGCTCACGGCTCACCTTAGATGTTCAAATTTTGTACCCCCACACGGCTGCCCGCACACAAGGGAGGCTGCCCGTACACGCCCTCTACTATCTGCATGTGAATTGCTCATTTGCTCATGGCTCACGCCGCTTTACTGTGAGATCGCTTGGTTGTTTAGAGCGGCATGTTAGCCCGCATGTGTCCTGTGTGTGTGTGTGTGGACACGGTCCGGGACATTGTCTAGGTCGTAAAGTGCACTGACCGGTGCTGTATTCACACGGCATCAGCCTTCTGTCCAGTCGTTCACGTCACGGTGTCCACTGAGCGACATTTATCCCGTGCTTATATGAGGCGACGCCTCCTCCGCGCTGTGCGAGCGAACGTCGAGCGGTGATACTGCGCCGCAACGCTTCGGTGCTCTGCGGTGCAGTCTGAATACAGACTGATCTGATGCGACTGCCGTGGGCGCGCGGTATGTGACGCGAAATCGACATCACTCATTAGAGTCTGAATCGGAATCATCAGCAGTCTGGCCAGATTCAAATAGATGATACTGGATGCTACAGGGGGATTCTAAGAGATTTGTTTATTAAAGGGACCCTCCCACCTTCAAAAAAGTTAATGAATTGGCATGAAAGTGATGTCGCTCGGTTCAGAAAGAGCGAAAACGAATATCTACCAAAGTTCATCGAAAAATATTCACCGGTTTTCAAGATATTATACTTTTACTTTTGTTTACTTTTTGGGATCTCCGCTGTTCCCAGGGACTTTATTTGAAAGTGCGGCATTTGTTGCGCGTAAAGCAGCATATACCACCGCGTGCTACCAAACGTTTAAGTCAAACATTTAAAAATCGTTAGATATCTGCGCTGACGTCACACATTCAGAGGGGTATTCCTATGCATTAGCCCCTCTGAATCAAAATGCTGCAATTTTGAAATTCAATATTTCCGATTTAAGGCATTTCTCGATGTTGTGAGTGCCGAAACCGGTAATTGTGAGCCAGGGACCCCATTTTGGCTATCTCAACCCAAATCTAATGTTAAGGTGGGAGGGTCCCTTTAAAGGGGCTCCACCTTCAAAAAAGTTAATGAATTGGCATAAAAGTGATTGAACCGCCAGGGACCCCAATTTGGCTATCTGAACTCGAACTAAAATTTAGATAGGATGGTCCTTTAAAACGGTCTTTCGAAATGGAAATATTACAATCCGTTTGTATAACGTAATTATTATGTTCAATTTCTTATTATCGGTTAAAATTGAGGACCTGAAACTATGTAGCTCATTAAGGCAAGCTCCCGTGAATGTTGGAGATGATTTTTTATTGGAGTAGAATTCACGATTTTCCTCTTTGCTATCCGAATAGAGCACTCCTTACATCGTCCCCTTTTGCCATGATCGTCAGTCGTCACCTATAATGACACTAAGGTATGATGAATGATCCAATCGTATGTCCTGAACACTTTGGCCGTTCTACCTACTGGCGATTGGCGAATGGGTCTAAGCCTGCGCCCCGCTGGGGGAGGGTGCAGAATCTGCCCTCTCCCGTGTCTCGCCAATATCTTTTAAACACTTTAACCCTCGATCGTATGGGGGGGGGGGGCTGTCGAACAGACCCCCTCGTTTTTTTGCGAATAGCTCGCGTAAAAAGCGACTGATCGCGACGAAGCTTTCAATGCCCTTAAGTTAATCAATTTTACACCTACCCTGAATATTTCATGACCCTGAACCAAATAACCTTTGACCTGTGGCCTATTTCTCGACACCATGTTTGGCCGGAATCGCAATTCGGCGTATGTCGGCTCTATCAGCCGCGCGTTTGCAATCTCTTCGTGGTTTCAAGCGTTCAAACATGTGATATGATGTTGGTCCCATACCTTAGGGTGGGTATCAAGGTCAGGTCATTGACCTTTAATGACCTCGGTTCACTTTTTCGAGTTATACATGTTTCTAGACTACTTTTTGAGTTGAATTCGAATCTAGCAACCATTTGAACATTTGCGAAGTAGTTTTGGTGCCTCCGTAACTTGTTACGAAGCTGTCAGAGGCGGCTGACACGTACCTACTACGAATACCTGGCAGGACCCCTACTGGTTGACCTGACCTGACCCGAGCCGACCTAAATGCATGAAGACACCATCCGTACCGTTTTCAAAGCTAACGTGATATTCTTGATGACCACCTCGAAAGCCCGCTTAGCAGCCACACTTTACGACGTTCTAACAGGTCCTGATTTTCCCGGCTTTTGGGGCATTGACCTGACCTGAAAGGTCAACCAATGACCTGAACCTTAAAATTGGGTATCATTGGCTTCCTCTCTCGTCACGGGCAACACGCTCGTTTTTTCCGCGAAGCTCCAGCTTGATCAGGGGCCAAACGGCAGGGGGAGGTCTAACGGACCCCCCCCCCCCTTCCCCCTATACGTTCGCATCTGGCAAAACACCAAAACGTGCGAGCGTTAACCCGCGCCCCGCTGGGCTATTCAGCCATACGCGCCCTGCTGGGGGGCAGATTCTGCCCCCCCCCCCCTGTCTAACTTCCGAACCGATGGTCGTAGAAAGACGGGGAAAACGGCAATCGAAAGCTCTCAACAAGGCGGATCTTAACCCGCGCCCCACTGGGGGGATTCCCATACGAATGAGCTAGCCACAAAAGAGCTAGTGTTGTTTGAGCTAGCTCATTTGGGCTAGTGCCACAAAATAGCTAGTGCGATTGTAACTAGTCCCACAAAACAGCTAGGAGCAAAATGACTAGTGTTGTAAAGGGCTAGTAGATCGGCTCACGCCGTACCTCTTCGGGATTTTATAAGCAAAGTTCAGTTCAGATCAGATCGGTCACTAAAAAGACCGAAACATGCGACTCAGATTTTATTCTCAAACGTTCATCGAAATGTTGTATCCAACTCCGCGAAGAAACTCCTGCCTGTCTATGATGTCTTCTGTGAGACGGCGAATGAGGACCTTAATTCGTTTATTTATATCGGCATAATTTTCTCTTGTTTTTGAACTTCGTTTTCTGCTTTGAATTTGCAAAGTTCTGCAGCTTGCAGCGCTTCTTCTTTTGAATCACAGCCAGAAAACGCCAATGTGACAGGTGTGGCGAGTCCACCATCCCTTGGATTGCCCTGTGCCACCCTTCAATTTTGTTGTTGGTCCTCGACATTCCCTCGTCGGTGCGAATCCCGACATTCCACATGTCTTTTCCGAAATTTTTGTGCTCTCCTCTGCCCCCTCCGTCCCTGCCTCCCAATGTAGGTATCTTCAAAGTAATTGTAATAGGTATCCTCAAAGCTCTTTGCACCACTAGCTATTTTGGGACTAGCTCTTATAAGTCACTAGCTATTTTAACATTGGCTTTTACATCACTAGCTCTTTTGTAGCACTAGCTCAAACGTACTAGCTCAAATGACACTAGCTGTTTTGTCGCTAGCTATTCGGACACGAGGCCCGGGGAAGTTTTTGACTTTTCGAAAAAACCGGAATATATGTGACAGAACGCATGCTTGTGACTAACTCTAGCAAGTTTTAGCTAAATATCTTCAAAAATGGCCAAGTTATACGCATTATTGCAAAAAAATCACAATTATTTATTTTTCAACTCAATTTTCAGTACGTATTTGACATCGTACACCAATTTAAATTGCACTATCGTGCTCCTGAGCTCAAACTGCATCCAATAGACACCTTTTTTGTTCAAAAATTATAACTTCAAAATTTGACCTTTTTTGACCTGAAAGCATTCCACGATAGATCGACCAAAGCCGTACACCCTCATATTTTATTTTTTGCTTAAAATTGGTCTAATGGGTTGTTATGGGCGGGGAAGCCAGCTGTGCCAAGGATTTTTTTCTTCGAGCAACGGTTTCCGAGATATAGCCTCAGACAATTCCTGGAGGTCACGCTGCAACCCTATGTTTGGCGGCTTATAACTCAGAAACTATTGGTTTTCTATGGTAAAAACTTTATATGGTTCAACTCGCAATCAACCAACAAACGTTTTGGCTATCTCGGATTTTCGATTTTTGAAAATTTTGATCACGTGACATCTTGACCTTTTTCGAAGAGTGACCTTGCTATTTTCCCAACTGAAAGTCGCAATTATGTCTGATGACGATTAAAGCCTTATCAATTGTCATTCATATGCGCAAATAAAAAAGTGACTTTCGGCCTGCGTTGACCTCAGGTCAGGTCATTTTTATGACCTGTCCATTATTACGAGCGGGAGCGACGCGAGATCTCGAGAATAAAGCAAGATAGCGACAAGCGGTAAACAGTACAGGATTCACACGGATAAGGTCTACAATTTTTACGGAGGTCATTTTCAGGTCAGGTCAAAGATGACGTCACAGGGGTAAAAAGGAAGTCAAAATAGTTTTGGCTGTACCTTTTGATCTAATAAAGAAAGAGACGTGGAACAGGCACCATTGTGTTTGCTTTCGCCTAGCGCCAGTTCGTTTTGAATTTCAATACCGATGACCTGAGGTCAGGTCAATTTCTTGACCACCCCATTATAAGTCAATTGGGGAAAAATCAGCTCCCTTGTTTTTACACTAAAACGCGTCGGAATTGCCTAATATACCATGAGTGACTTCATATACGACTAACCTTGAGACCTTTTTTGCTCTTGGTCAACTGTGACGTTGCT